ATACAGACACCGTGAGAGCTAGCTCATTACATACAGCTGGCACCAGGGAATAGAATTCAAGAGCTTTATCTTTTGAAGCACAAACTCTCTGCCCAGGGAGTTAAAGCAGCAGAACAGGAGCTCTGACAGGAAAGGGAGTTGATATATACCTGGGCAAGGCTGTTCAAGTCTAGGAGGGGGCAGTGGTTCACACACATGTCCCAGCACAAAGAGTAGCTCACTTAGTTCATCCAGGAGAGAGGACCTCAGATACGCCAACAACTCTAACACACAAGCCATAGAAAGAACTGATGTGAGCCCTGACATATCCCAACTAGCCAAGCGGACACAATCAGGGTAAGAGTTTGTATGTCTAGAGCATCTTCCATCCAATGATCTCAAAGCACTTCACAAACATTAGCTTGTACCAATAATGATTAATGAAGTACAATATGTGAACATTAGGCCCATATTACAGTTATGGAAACTGAGGCACAGAGTGATGATGTGACTTGACAAAGCTCACATAGGACAGCCGGGGCAAAGCCAGGAATAGGACCCAGGTATTCTTACTCCCAGCCCCCACACCTCACCCACAGGACAAGCCACCCACCAAAAGCAAATGCCCACACATGTGCCAGAGAACGAGACAATGTATGTATGTGCAGTGAATGGTCACTGCTCCTCCTCTGCATTGGTACCCACCAGCACAGACACAACAATGCCGATAACAGCAACTTGCATTTATATAGACGCTTTAACTCAAAGCTCACCGAGTGCTCTACTAAGATGAACCCATTCACTCCCCTCTGGACAAAATCTCTCCTATCAGAACCCTGACCTCAAAATTGTTCTTCCCAACCCTGGGAACCTTGTGCTTTTCTATAGGTTCAACAAAGCTTCTTCTTGACCTAAGTTCTCAGAATGCCTGAGATTCTTCAGATTTCAGCATGGCCGGACAAGACTCACTGGGCCTGAGGCAGAGCCCAATAGTAGGAGATACATTCCCCATCACTAGCTGGAGACTGGGATGGAGGGGTCCTTGGACTCAGTTTATCAACATATTAGATTATGCAAGGTGTGGCTAAATAGATAGATCTGGGTTTTCATACCATATTCATCACCATGGTATCAGATAACATTCCATATATAGAGTGCTATTTAGCAACAATACCTTTCCAACCCAGGGCCACCTGTGAGTATTAATTACCTGTGTGAGTACTGATGACCCCAGTGTAAACCCTAAGATCATTAACCTCAGCCTAATGGTTGATCAACTTGTTTCCCCCTAAAATACCTTGGGCACAAGGCACCCCAAAGTAGCCATCCCTCCTCCATACATCAGCCAGGTAGAGATCTCATTGTCTTTGAGTTTCTGTTGACTGGTATGTATGGAGCACATAAAGCCAGTCTCCTCAGTATTAGAAAATTATTTTATGGATTCCATCTCCCATGTATTTTTATAGTTCTCCTCACTGTGGTATGTGGGCACCTCTTAAACCCCCATGACTCATGAGGTAGGTAAGAATGCTAATTATCATCTTCTAAACGAGGAACCAAGGCACAGATAAACTACAGTAGAACCTCACAGTTACAAACACCAGAGTTATGAATTGACAAGTCAACCACACGCCTCATTTGGAACTGGAAGTATGCAATCAGGCAGCAGAGACAAAAAAACCAAACAAAAACAAACACAAATAAAAACAAAAGTACAATAGTGTGTTAAACATAAACTACCAAAAAAATAAAGGGAAAGTTTTAAAAAAAGATTTGACAAGGTAGGAAAACTAGTTCTGTGCTTGTTTTATTTTAAGATGGCTAAAAGCAGCATTTTTCTTCTGCCTAGAAAAGTTTCAAAGCTGTATTAAGTCAATGTTGAGTTGTAAACTTTTGAAAGAACAACCGTAACGTTTTGTTCTGTGTTATGAACAATTTGGAGTTACGAATAACCTCCATTCCCGAGGTGTTTGTAACTTTGAGGGTCTACTGTAAATGACATGCCTAACATCACCCAAGGAGTATGTGGTAGAGGTGAGAATTAAGCCCAGGTCTTCTGAAGCCTAGTGCAATGCCCATAACCACAAGACCATCCTTCACCTGAAGCTCCCAACTGGCTATCCTACCGTTGATGTCATTCCTGTGACACCAATGCTGCCTAAGTAGCACACCTGGCTCTTTTTTGTCAGCATGTACAGCATTAATCCTGTTTCATGACAGTAGGAAAGTTCTCCCACCAGATCACCTCTGGAAGGAGGCGGGTCACTGACCTTCAACCTGGTCCCCCACCTTTGAACTCTTGCCTTTCAGCCCAACACAAGCCATTCTATAAACACCTTCTTTCTAGAAATGTGCTGCCCAGAATATTTTGTTCCTTGACACCCCAACATTCAATGTGGTGCTAGGATTCCTGTCTTTATGACCTGACTCAACATCATCACCAATTGAGGCTATGTCACTTAGTTGCAAAGCCTCATGTGAAACTGAGATTGCCTGATTGCCTGTAAGAATGCAGGCCAAAACCATGACCATCCAGAGAATTTCAAAACAGCGGTGACCCTGGCTGGGGCTGGCCTAGGAGATTTTACCCCATCTGTAGAAACTGAAGGATATGTCTGAGGGATAGCAATCCCTAGTTTTCTGCCAGCACTGAGGACATCCTGTCATCCTGGCCAGCGCTTTTGTCCTTTTGAAAAAGGAAACAAAACCATTCACACTGAATGCAATGGGGACTGCTCCCTAGGCAAATGGCACCAATACCTTTCCATATGCGATTGCTGTAGCACCCCGACCCCACACTGCCACCTGGTCTACAATGGGCCAGGTTCTTGTCTAAAATGAGGCACTGCTGTGGTATGTCTTTTGTCAGATTATGGTGTGATGTGCTGTCCTGAGTTAAACTGGCTCTGACCCAGCTGCTAGGATCTACTGGAGCTTTCGAGGATCTAAACAGGCCTCCATGCAGCTGCTACGATTTTTCATGGCTGAAATGGCTCTGATATGGCCATTAAGGTCTTCTGAGCCTAAACTAGTTTTGATGAGACTGCTAAGATCTCTCCTGCTTGAACAGGCTTTGGCATGGCCTCTAAGATCTCCCATGGCATGCTCCGGGCTGCATCCATTAATGGAGCAAACGCCAAGCGGGAGAGAGGAATTTAAGCCACTTTTCGGCCCTCTCATTTCTATCCTCATTTGATCAGTTTATGTATGTGAAATTAACAGTCTTCTTGTTTTAATCCCATCCTGCAATCCACGCTGCATGACACAAGCTGGATTCCAATAACCAACCCAGAACCAGCCCTGCTTTTTGGCAGGTAGATCCCATGCCCCCAGTGCCTGGAGAGGTCTTCTCATCCACCCACTCTCATCACCATGGGGTGAGGGCCACAGCCACAGCCCTGCCTATGATGCCTTAGCAGTTGGGCAGGGCCCCCATCCCCAGGTTTGCACCCTTGTGGAGCTCCTGCTTTACATGCGGAGGGGCATATAGGGAGCGATTTGTTTGATGCGGGGCTCGCCCCTCCCTCATCGCGCCCCCGCCGTCTCCTCGCCTGTGTCTTCCTGCTATGCAAACAGGGAGGGGGCGGCGGAGGGAGGTTGGGGGCGGCGGTATTTAAATAGATTAATAATGCATGTTTCATGCAAATGAAGCTTGCCCGGGCTGTTGCATTAGCGCTGCCGGGAGGCTGCACCTCCCCCGGACCCACACGGGCGGGGGCTGCTCAGCACACAGCGCCGCGGTGGCAGCATCACGCCCAGGCGCTCGGGCCCCGCTCCCCAGCGATCCCACCCCCGCCCCGGGCGTGACACAGCGCGGCGCAGGCGAGCCCCCCTGGTATGGGCCCGGCCACCCACCTCCCAGACCGACCGCCCCAGAGCCCCGCTCAGCACCCCGGCCTCGCGGGGGAAGGGGTGAATACTGAACCCTTCCGCGCTTCCAAGTCCCACCCCCACGTGCATGCATGTGCACTCTCTCCGACCTGCAGCAGGCACCCATGTGCACTCACACACACGTGCGCACACAGGAGGACGCATGCACATCCCGGGGCGCGCGCGCCTGCATGCATGCTGACACACATGTGCACGCCACACGCGCACACAGGAGCAGACGCACAGACAGCACCTCCCGAGCATGTCGGCTGCTGCAGCACCAGCAGATCTCTGCTGCTCTCCGGCCAGCTCCACTGTCTGTCCTGGGATGACAATGGGATGCGCCTGGTCCCCCTTGTTCAGATTCTCCTCCCCGCACCCCGTGGTCCAAAGCAGGGGGCTGCTGACGCATACAAATGTGGGCACTTTCTCGGGTGCAATAAACCGGCGCGCGGGCACCCGGCTCCCAGCACACACACAGGCACCCGGCTCTCCGGGCTGGCCCCCTGTGGCGCTGGCCACACACCACACATTCCCGGGGAGCCTTCTGCAGCCAGTGGAGCCTGCCAGCAGAGCACGGGGGTGGCAGGGAGAGCAGGAGGCTGACTTTTCCCACCCACCCAAAACATAGCCCCGCCACCCACGCACTCCTGCCTCTGCAAAGAACCCCCGCCAAAGTTTGCAAAGCCACAGAGGCTGGAGAAAAGGGGGGGGGGGGGGAGAGACGCACAATCTCCCTCTTGCCACTATAGTTGCCAGCACAAAATTAAAACCTACCCCTCCTGCTCCTGCAGGGGTTGCAACGGAGAAATCCAGCCGACCCCAGCTGCACGCCGCCGGCTCGGCATATTCACGACCCCCCGGCACACAGGGAGACCACCTGCATGCAAGGCAACGCTCCCTCCCCTCTTCACATGTGCTTCATGTGGCCGGCCAGCCCCTCGGAGCCTCTGCCCTGCCTCCACCTGGCCCCAAAGCAGCTACAGCCCTGGAGAGAGACCGGGGAGATTGGAGGGGGGAGGGAGAGATGCAGAGGGCGGGTTTGATCCTTCTCTCCCTAACCTGGCTGGGAGACAAGGGGCGACACGAAGAGCCGGGGCGGAAGCCAGCCCCACGGTGCATGCACAGCCGCCGCCGAGCGAGACCCATACCTGCCGATCCAGCGGGGAGACTCTCAGCCCCCTCTTGGCTTCGATGATCGCTAGTGCAAGGGCTGGCGCTCCCGCCGCGCGCGCGCGTGTGTGTGTGTGTGCGCGCGGGGCCCCCTCCCCCGGCCTCACCCCTTTGCACGGTGGGTTCCCCTCTCCCCCAGCTGCTTCATTGCCCCGAGGCCCAGCGGCCGGGCTCACGATCCCCCGGCCGGGCGGAGACGGAGGCTGAAGCCGGGGCGGGCAGAGACAGGCGGGGGATTCGCCGCCGCTGCTGCTGCATCACCGGGAGCACCAGGCAGAAGGGGCTGTAGTGGCATTTAAACCGCCAGTGATTAATTCGGCCCGGGCTCTGGGGCGAGAGGCGATGCTGCTGCTCCCAGCTGGGGAGGCTGTGACAAGTGAAGGTCTGTCTCCCATGGAGCTAGCGCCCAGCCACAGCTCCGGTGCACACAGGTAAGGGGGTGGGCCTCCCTTAGAGATGTTAAAACACACACATGCAACAGCTGCTGGGGACCTACACCCCTCCCCTCACACGATCGCACACATGCAACAGCTGCTGGG